CAACTACATAATAAGCGGTTTTGTGGTTTAGGCACATCATTAAATATAACGCCCCCATCTTAAATCATTGTGGTTAATAAGGTAAATAGAAGTCGTACCTCGTTTCTAGTGTAAGGACTCTCACCCCATTAAACCTGAACGGTAAGTTGCATTGTATTGCATTCTCTCAATTTTATCAGGTTTGGTTAATGTTTTTATATCACATTATTTCCACATATCCGTAATTTTCACACATTTATTGATTAAATATCGTGTGAAGTATATTACTATTAAATGTACATTTTGTGCACCTCTATCTTTTTGTAAAATAAGTGTAGACGTAATACTATTGAATCCAATGTTTAACAGTTAGTTTTTGACGATATGCTATAGACTAAAGTTTTCTTCCGTGCCAACTACAGAAAAAATGGTCGGAGGAAGAGAAAAGCTAGATTTGGAATGAATCTGTTTCTTCGAACTCAATTTCGAATAATATGTTAAAAGTAAGTTTGAGTTTAACATTGTTTTCATAAAAAAAATGTTCAAATGTAAATAATTACATGTGTACATCAAATAACAAGTTATTAAACACGACATTAGTGTCAACGGTTTATTAAATAGTAACAGGATTTATAACATACAATTATATATTTATCTATTGGAATGATTAATACTGCAGCGGCGGTTAGCTGGGTAGGTGTCAGCAGCCCGACATCTCATAAATGTCTCCTAGTTATGGTTCTGCTGGTAGATCTCGTGGCCGGTGCCGATGACACCGATCACACCGAGCCCGTGCTTCTGTGGACACAAAAAATATCATTAGGAAATATTACAAAAACTTCTTCTTTGGCACGTTATAAATTATTAAATAAATAATCATAAAATTAACTACTAACAATCTTGGCTTGGTATGGTTAGAATAAGAAGATTTTTTATAAATATAGGCATCTTTACTCACAATAACTTTCCCGCCCTTCCTGAGGGCGCCACCGATGCCCTTAGGGTTGGCACTAGCGCCGCCCAGCAGGGCTAGCACTGCCATCACCAACACGACAAGACCGAACAGTTTCATGATGAAAGGAAAAATTACGGCTGCACAGCCACTTCTTACAAATTTATGTGTACCTGGTTACTGATACTCTGGTGTAAGACACTGATATGTCTAGTGTCTACCAATTATTGTTGGGTAACTACGTATGACGTAAAAGCATCAATGAAACATCTTCAACAATGACACGAGTGAGTTATCCTCATTCTCAATATTGCCTTTCCGTTACGTTTACTTTAAGTTTAGAGTAAGTGACGAAGTCAAAAAACCCTCTCATGGCCTATTGTTCTATTCAAGTAGAGTTATCTAATGCATTTGTAATATATAAGGGAAGCGAAATATGATCACTCATCATTCGAAGTTTGCGCTTCTTTTAGTCAACACCAGTTAGTTGTTCTAAACTTTTACCTTTCATCATGAAGCTGTTCGGTCTCGTCATGTTGGTGATGGCAGTGCTAGCCCTGCTGGGCGGCGCTAGTGCCAACCCTAAGGGCATCGGTGGCGCCCTCAGGAAGGGCGGGAAAGTTATTGTGAGTAAAGATGCCAATACTTATCATCCTAACTATACCAAGCAAAGATTGTTAGTAGTGATTTTATAATTATTTATTTAATAATTTGTATCGTTCCAAAAAATATTTGAAGGAGTTGTTGTAATATTTACTAATGAACTTTCTTATGTCCACAGAAACACGGGCTCGGTGTGATCGGTGTCATCGGCACCGGCCACGAGATCTACCAGCAGAACCATAATTAGGAGACATCTATGAAATGTCAGGGTGCTTACTCCTACCCAGCTAACCGCCGCTGCAGTATTAATCATTCCAATAGATAAATATAATTATATGTTATAAATCCTGTTACTATTTAATAAACCGTTGACACTAATTTCGTGTTTAATAACTTGATATTTGATGTACACACATAATTATTTACATTTGAGCAATTTTCTCATGAAAACAATGTTAAACTCAAACTTACTTCTAACATATTCGAAATTGAGTTCGAAGAAACAGATTCATTCCAAATCTAGTTTTTCTCTTCCTACAACTATTTTTCTGTAGTTGGCACGGAAGAAAACTTTACTTCATATACTTAACTTTAGTCTATAGCATATCGTCAAAAACTACCTGTTAAAAACATTAGATTCAGTAGTATTACATCTGTACTTGTTTTACAAAAATATAGAGGTCAATACTATGCACATTTAATAGTAATATATTTAACACGATATTTAATCAATAAATGTGTCAAAATGACGGATATGTGGAAATAATGTGATATCTTTTTTTTCACCAAAACTGAAAAAAATTAGAGAATGCAATACAATGCAATTTACCGTTCAGGTTTAATGGGGTGAGAGTCCTTACACTAGAAACGAGGTACAAATTCTATTTACCTTATTAAGCGCAACGATTTAAGACCCAGGCGTTATGCTTAATGATGTGCTTAAACCACAAAACCGCTTATTACTATGTAGTAGCGGTTTGCAAATTAACTATGAAATAAAATCGCTTACAAGTTGATTCGTAAAAATGAGAAAGTATGATAAGTTTTTTTTGTAATTTTAATAGATATACCAACTAGCAATACATCAAAGTCAAAGTCAATGTCAATGTCAAAGTCGAAAGTCGATAGTCGAAAGTCGAAAACCGAAAGTTGAAGGTTTAATTCGAAATTGGAGTTGTAAAATTGGCCGACTCGAAATTGAAGTGATACCACGACCACACAGAAAACTGGCGTGAAGCAACACTTACGTTGTGTTTTACCGTTTATGCGACATGACCGGAGGCCTTATCTCTCCGCTCGGAGGGGAGGCTCCTAACCTCAAGCCTCCTACCAAATTCCTTTACTCCCTAGTAACCCACAAGAAGCCCGCAACGCATTTGTAGTTACCTCGTTTGGTCGTAGTTTTTTTGTCGGGGATTTCTTTCAATATATTTTTTATTGTATAAAATGTAGTGTATACCCAATTTCCTCAATATTTCCATGCCAACTACAGAAAAAATAGGTGTTGAAAGAAAAAATCACGAGTACAAACACTCCTTCCCTCCTCACGACTTCGTAATGAATCTGTCTCTCCATATTAATATCAAATAATAAAATGTTTTACAAGTAGAAGTAAGTTTGAGCTACTTACGTATTAAGTACCCTGAATGAATTTGACATTGGTTTTATATGTTGGTAATTCGACGTAGCCACTAGACTTTGATCGGTCACAAAATCTCTAAAAAATAACAAAGAAATGAAAGCTAAAAATGTCGTAAACATTTCTGTTCCTTATTCAAATAGGTATTGGCACGAATAAACAATGAAATGGATTAATAATGATGTAAACATTGTCTTTCTTTATGGAAAAGACGTTGATAATTTAATTAAAAAATAAACTTTTGCTGTTTGACCTATTTACTAGTCGCGACCCCGACCTTCTTGGCTAAATCCCGAAGGAACACTTTTCTATAAAATAATGTAACACACCTGACTGCCTCGTTTGGTTTTTTAAACGTTGCATTGCAATCAAGTAGGTACAGCTGCATAATATGAAGAAGATACAAAAAAATATTTAGAGTACCTACAATTTGTATCCTGAATGGTCGTAAGTTGTGTATATAGTCGTAAACCTGTTTTTTGGGACATAGGTCGGCAAACGAGCATATACATATTGCCTGATATTAAGCAATCGGCACCGACCGTGGACACTCGTGATACCAAAGGACAAGTGGGGTTCAGTTTCTTGTGGATCATTGATCGAGTAGTCGAGAGTAGTAGATTGAGGAATTTGAGGTTTGAGGATAGGGAAGAAGGAAGGATTTGGCTTACCTCACTTACATGGCAAAACACAACGTAAGTTTTGCTTTACACACCTTTGAGACCGTGGGCCTCAAAGAAAACTATCACACCGGACGTGCCGGCCAATCTTACAACAAATGAATATTTTATCAAAGAGTAATAACGGGGACCCTGTAACTATGACTCCTAAATATTAATGTCATTTCAATTTTTTCCATATAATTGGTACCCATTTTTTTTTTTTTTTTGTGGCTGGTTGGAAAATCCTCATGGACACCCATCGCCCTCGGGGAAGGTCGAAGGGTACTGTCAGACTCTTACTGACTAAAAACCAACCCGGTGTTCCTCCAATAACCCATGTGTCGGAGGGGCGGGTATCGCCGAAGCATTCGTCGCAACCCCCCGACGGGTGTTGCCCCACTGCGGCCGTCACCCCGACCGCAGGACTCCACTATGAGGCGCGCGCGGAATACGGCGCCGCCGCCTCGAGGCCTGCTGCTGGTCAGACCACAAGACGCCCCGAGTCTGTCGTCCACAGGCCGCGCCCTACGGTGGCCGCAGGTCGGCCACCCTACGACGTCTAGTGCGTCTGCTGCGGGAGGGGAGAGAGGAGTTAGCCTCTCTCTCCCTTTCCGCCGCCTCCTTTGCGAGCATCACGGCCTCGCAGAAGGTAGCGACGGTACTCCACCCTGACTCGCTCCCGACCATAGTAGACACTACAGCCGGAAGCGAGAGATTTCCCGCAGCACCTACGGCCGCGACCAGGTCACGACGCTGCTCGGCCCAAGCTGGGCACTCCGCCAAGGTATGCAGCGCCGTATCGTCGCGGCAATCACCACAATGGTGGCACTGAGACTTTAACCCTAAATAGGTATAATATAGTCTACATGATTGGTTGTTACTCCACTGATTTAGATAGATTAGGAGATTATTGTTATTGCTTGTGTGCACATACATAGAGACCACAATTTTCCTTCATTTCTAGGAACAAACAACACTTAGGTTTACGTAACCTTTTCTTAAAGTCAAGCTGAAAGTGAATAAAAAAAGGCAAAGTAGTGTCAACGGTTTATTAAATAGTAACAGGATTTATAACATATTATTATATTTATCTATTGGAATGATTAATACTGCAGCGGCGGTTAGCTGGGTAGGAGTAAGCACCCTGACATTTCATAGATGTCTCCTAATTATGGTTCTGCTGGTAGATCTCGTGGCCGGTGCCGATGACACCGATCACACCGAGCCCGTGTTTCTGTGGACATAAGAAAGTTCATTAGTAAATATTACAACAACTCCTTCAAATATTTTTTGGAACGATACAAATTAATAAATAAATAATTATAAAATCACTACTAACAATCTTTGCTTGGTATAGTTAGGATGATAAGTATTGGCATCTTTACTCACAATAACTTTCCCGCCCTTCCTGAGGGCGCCACCGATGCCCTTAGGGTTGGCACTAGCGCCGCCCAGCAGGGCTAGCACTGCCATCACCAACATGACGAGACCGAACAGCTTCATGATGAAAGGTAAAAGTTTAGAACAACTAACTGGTGTTGACTAAAAGAAGCGCAAACTTCGAATGATGAGTGATCATATTTCGCTTCCCTTATATATTACTATGGCAGTAGATAACTCTACTTGAATAGAACAATAAGCCATGAGAGGGTTTTTTGACTTCGTCACTTACTCTAAACTTAAAGTAAACGAAACGGAAAAGCAATATTAAGAATGAGGATAACTCACTCGTGTAATTGTTGAAGATGTTTCATTGACGCTTTTACGTCAAACGTAGTTACCCAATAATGTTTGATAGTGTCATTTCGTAGACACTAACATATCAGTGTCTTTCACCAGAGTATCAGTCACCAGGTGCACATAAATTGGTAAGAGGTGGCTGTGCAGCCGTAATTTAACAGTAAATCTTTGGTAAAAGATTTAAAGCGCGAAAGCTTTCATAGTGCTTGTTACCTTGGCAAATAATTGCTGATTTGTTATGTAGCGGATCTTTAGATATAGTGTTATTGTATGCCTTTTTGCGTGTTATTAAAATGAAGGAACTGATTTTGTTATCCATCCTTGTTTATAATATTGTAGTACAAACAACATGACTTGACGCATTTTAAAATATTTACTTACAAACCTTCTCAGGCAGGGCAACGTTTCGAGAAAAGTTTGTTTTATCACTTTCTGGTTCGACTGTGTGGATAACGCCGTGCCTCATATTTGTAGTTATTGAAGTCTGCGATGACATTCTATCTAATTTCCTTTAGGTTTCAATGTGTGCATTTCTCAATAATCTGACTTGAGTTTTAAAACATCTTCAAGATAAAATTACTGTACTCATCATCATCATCATCATTAGTCTATATGTGCCCACTGCTAAGCAAAGGCCTCGTCCCACAAGGAGAAGGTTTGAGCATTTATCACCACGCTTGCTCTTATAATAGGCGATTTTAAACTTATAATAAGAATAATTATAAGTCAAGTTTTCCTCACGATGTTTTCCTTCACCGTTTGTATATATAATTTGGAAAAAGCCACATTGGCACTTGCCAGGTTTCGAACCCTCATGTATGAGAAGCGGGCGCTTCAACCATTGGGCCACCACCCAAATGTTTGTACTCTTTTGCTGTAATTATATGATCGAAATAAAATTTATATTGTGAACAAATATTGCTATCCACTCACTTATTAGCCTGTAAGCCAAACAATCGTTTGATTAAAATCCAGAGTAAAATTGTAACATATTTTGAATTTACTTAATTCAATTTGGTAAACTTGTAAATGTATTTCAGTCTTGTACCTTAGGCAAGGAGTAGATCGGTTGATCTTTTGTGGTTATGGACACCGTAATTTGCATGAGACAGGCACAAAGCATAATTGGGTGTAGTTACTTACTAAATTAAAACGAAATTAGTTCCAGTATTTTAGAAAATATACAAACGAAAAAGGGATACAATAACAATCTGAATATTCCGCTACATAACAAATCAGCAATTCTTTACCAAGGTAACAGGCACTACGAAAGCTTTCGCAATTTTAACAGTAAATCTTTGGTAAAAGATTTAGTTAAATTACGGCTGCGCAGCCACCGGTTACGAATTTATGTGCACCTGGTCACTGATACTCTTGTGGAAGACACTGATATGTTTAGAGTCTACCAACACTACCAAACATTATGGGGTAACCACGTTTGACGTAAAAGCGTCAATCTCAATATTGCTTTACCATTACGTTTAAGTTTAGAGTAAGTGACGAAGTCAAAAAAACCCTCTCATGGCCTATTGTTCTATTCAAGTAGCGTTATCTTCTGCCATTTAATATATAAGGGAAGCGAAATATGATCACTCATCATTCGAAGTTTGCGCTTCTTTTAGTCAACGCCAGTTAGTTATTCTAAACTTTTACCTTTCATCATGAAACTGTTCGGTCTTGTCGTGTTGGTGATGGCAGTGCTAGCCCTGCTGGGCGGCGCTAGTGCCAACCCTAAGGGCATCGGTGGCGCCCTCAGGAAGGGCGGGAAAGTTATTGTGAGTAAAGATGTTAATATCTATTTACGTATATAGTGAATTAAGCAATTTACTTTTGGTCCTACCAAACCATGCCAAGATTGTTAGTGGTAATTTTACAGTTATTCAACTAAGGTAAATGCACCTTATTCCGAGGGGTTCTAAAAATGGCATCATATTCCGATGTATTTAGAAAAACAGTTTTTTAAAGCAATTTACTAGTTTTTTATGGTCTGCATGATAAAATAATGAATTAATAATTATCTGTTCATATTTATTTATACAAAGGAGAGTTTAGTATGGTCACACTCTACAATAATCGGTCATTTTGCCGCGGGGATCGGCGTCGAAAGCACACTTCATACATTTGGGACCTTATGCACGTGAGTATTACGATTTGCCAAATAGTGTTTTACGTAATAATTTTATACAACGCGAGTTTTCGTTTAGGTTGAAATATTGAAAGGATAATATTTTTTATCGAAAACACTTAAGATTTGAGTATTTTATTTGCAAATTAGCAAGAAAATAAGTGTTTAAAATACCGCGGCATTAGGTGCAAAATATTTTAGTGTGTTCCTAAAAGCCGATGTATACCACGGAAAAACAAATTTAAAGACATTTAGTTTTTTTGAAATTTCGGTGTCTGTTTTATGATTATAAACTTTAATGTGTTAGTTCTGACTTAATGAATAACTCATACATTTAATAATCTATTTCCGAGGTACACCGTGGCGTCGCATTTACTAATTATAGCAGGTCAAAAATTGTTTGTACAGGTACTTTATTAATACGTTGTATAGAAGATTTTAGTGAAGACATTAGGTTTTATAAGTGTTCTGTTATTATATGTATGTACTTTATATTTGTTTTCCTTTCATATTGTAACTATACATTACTTTATTTGCATAATATTAAAAAATCTTTTACTTTTTAGTACTCGGAATTAGAAACTTTGATTTAGCATCATAAAACGCTATTCCGATTTATTTACGTCGGAATAAGGTTACATGAGTACCTAATTCCGATGTATTTACGTCGGAATAAGATTACATGAGAACCTAATTCCGAAGTTAGTTAAGACCCTGTCAATACAGAGTGTTCATTATTTTATGTGCTTAGTAGATACGCGTTTAGTAACTGAAAGAATACTAATCATCTATACAAATACATAAAATTGGAGTGTGTGTTTGTAAAAAAATATAATAAAATTAGTTTTTTTACGTTTAGTTTTTTTTTAAAGTAAGTACAAGTAAGTAAGTAATGCAACAATTAGATTTTAATGTTGATATTGTTAATTCATTTTTATATTTTTATAAGATTAAGGAATAATATTAATAAAAAACAGGGTTTAGAATAAAACTAGAATAAACAAAAAAAAAAAGAACTGATTTCATATAAAAAATAAACAAATTTGGATCTCGTAATAGGCTCTAATTTTGATATGATTATAGCAATTGTTATACTTTTAACTTGTAAGTACAAAAATAATAATAATGTAATTATTTTTGTAATGCAACAATTAGATTTTAATGTTGATATTGTTAATTCATTTTTATATTTTTATAAGATTAAGGAATAATATTAATAAAAAACAGGGTTTAGAATAAAACTAGAATAAACAAAAACAGAATTGATTTAAGTAATATAAAAAATAAACAGATTTGACTTTTAAACATCATGTATAATTCTCCCTACATAGTTCCCTTTCTATTTTTATACTCGGAATTAGGAACCAAATGCATCGGAATTACGATTTTTAAATCGGAATAAGGTACCTCGGACTTTTTTATATTTTTATTAATTTTATCAGCTTCAATAACCTTCTACTGACAAACTGCAAATATTTTTCAAAAATTTGATAGCTAACACTTCTGATAAAAATATAAAATTGTACACAAAGGTCCGATAAATCCTTAATTTATAATGTTCTTTCGTGTTATGTTAAACACAGCGCGGAATTAGGTGCCTTTACCTTAATATTTTTTAACGTGCCAAAGAATATTTTAAGAAGTTGTGGTAATAATCCTAATGATATTTCTTGTGTCCACAGAAACACGGGCTCGGTGTGATCGGTGTCATCGGCACCGGCCACGAGATCTACCAGCAGAACCATAACTAGGCGATATCTACGTGATGTCGGGCTGCTTACACCCACCCAGTCAACCGCCGCTGCAGTATAATCATTCCAATAGATAAATATATAAGTGTATGTTATAAATCCTGTTACTATTTAATAAACCGTTGACACTACTTTACCTGTTTTTATTCACTTTCAGCTTGACCTTATGAAAAGGTAACGCAAACCTAGGTGTTGTTTGTCCTTAGAAAAGAAGGAAAATTGTGGTCTCTATGTATGTGCACACAAGCAATAACAATAATCTCCTAATCTATCTAAATCAGTAGACTAACAATCAATCATGTAGACTATATTATACCTATCTAGCGTTAAAGTATGGGTACCAATTTTATGGAAAAAATCAAAATGACATTAATATTTAGAAGTCATAGTTACAGGGTTACCGTTTTGACCCGTTGATAAAATTATTCATTTGTTGTAAGATTGGCCGGCACGTCCTGTGTGATAACACGGCCTCAAAGAAAACCGGTGTGAATCAAAACTTACGTTGTGTTTTGCCATGTAAGTGGGGTGACCGTAAGCCAAATCCTTCCTTCTCCCCTATCCTCAAACCTCAAATTTCTCAATCTACTACTCTCGACTACTCGATCAATGATACACAACTTACAACCATTCAGGATACAAATCATGCGTACTCTAAATATTTGTTCTATCTAGAATAGAATAGAATAGAATATAATATCATTTATTTCTAAGTATATGGTACATTGAGGTTTTACATAAAATGTTGTTTCACATACATTACCATTGCTGGTGTAGAAATATTTAGCTAATCATGCTTTAAAAAGAAAAAAAAATGTAATTATAATAATGTCAAGCAAATTGATGACAAAAAATGTATAAGTAAGTATATGATATTAATTAAAAGTAACAATATTATTTGCGTCAAAATTGTAAAATATTAATTATAATGTCAAAAGCTAAATACAGTGTCAATACTCATGTCAAAAAACGTATACCCTCAGAAAACTAAACTAAAATGCAAAACACAATATGAATCAATAAAAATACTAAATACAATGTCAAAATATTAAATAAAATGTCAGAACTTGTGATTTAAAAATTCATTAACAGAATAGAAGCACATCTCTAGAAGCCAAGTGAACATTCGATTTTTAAACTTACTTATTGGTAACATTTTCAAGTCAGATGATAATTTATTATAAATTTTAATTGCCATGCAATGTACATTATTGCTGTATAAATGCAATCTTTGTCTAGGTGCCAGTAGTTTTCCAGGTTTTTGTTATTTAACCTCACAGAGATCTGTTCATTTAAAGGAAATAAATGTGGGTACTTTTTTCCAAAAAGACAAATATCAAAAATGTTTAAGCATGGCAGAGGAAGTTAGTTCCTTGAATAATGGTCTGCAATGATCTAAATATTCAGCGCCACTTATAGCTCTGATACATTTTTTTTGCACTATAAAAGCTTTTTGCACATCTACTGAGTTGCCCCATATCACTAAACCGTATTGCAACACCGATGAAACATAACCGTGATAGGCGCTTAAAGGCAATTCATTATTGGTTTCATTTTCCATATCCGTTTTATCTAAACATTTTATCGTCAATGTAGTGTCATCCGCAAATTGGATACAGTTATATTTTAGACATTGTGACAGGTCATTTATATATAATATGAAAAGCTGAGGGCCTAATACACTCCCCTGTGGTACGCCAGAGTTGTTAATTTTCAATTCGGAGCTATATGTCATTCTATTATTGTTTACAATTTTAGAGATAACAGTCCTTTGTTGGCGGTTGGACAAATAGCTTTCGAACCAATCTTGAGATTTGCCTCTTATACCATATCTCTCTAGCTTGTAAACAAGACGTTTATGTGAGACAAAGTCAAATGCTTTGCTCATGTCTAGAAAAACTGATAAAGTTGATATTTTATTATTAAGAGCTTCACTAATTAGTTTCACTAAAGAATAGCTGGCTAGTGTTGTTGAACTCTGTTTTCTGAAACCAAACTGATTCTCCACAATCAGTTTGTGTTTGTTTAGGAAATTTGGATTTTCTATTTTGCATCGCTTTTTCAAAATTTTTTGCAAGTACTGGTATCAGTGTAATAGGTCTATAATTATTTAGATCGTTGTGTTTACCCTTTTTATATAATGGTTTTATTATAGACAGTTTCAGTCTAGTTGGAAAGACGCCTTGTTCAAACGAGAGGTTAATCAAGTAAATAAGCGGCTGTGTTATAATAATCTACTATTGTATATCTTCTTCATATTATACAGCTGTAACTTCTTGATTGCAATGCAACGTTTAAAAAAACAAACGAGGCAGTCAGGTGTGTTACATTATTTTACAGAAAAGTGTTCCTTCGTGATTTAGCCAAGAAGGTCGGGGTCGCAACCATAAAATAGGTCAAACAGCAAAAGTTTATTTTTTAATTAAATTATTAACGTCTTTTCCATAAAGAATGTTTACATCATTATTAATCCATTTCATTGTTTATTCGTGCCAATACCTATTTGAATAAGGAACAGAAATGTTTACGACATTTTTAGCTTTCATTTCTTTGTTATTTTTGTAGAGATTTTGTGACCGATCAAAGTGTAGTGGCTAGGGCGCATTACCAATATATAAAGTCAATGTCGAATTCATTCAGAGTACTTAATACGTAAGTTACTCAAACTTTCTTCTACTTGTAAAACATTTGATATTTATATGAAGAGACAGATTCATTCCGAAGGAGTGTTTGTACTCCTGACTTTTACTTTCCACACCAATTTTTTCTGTTGTTGGCATGGAAAAATTGTGGAAATTGGGTAATTACTAAATTTTATACAGTAAAAAAAATTTCAAATCCCTGCAAAAAAACTATGACCAAACGAGATAACTACAAATGCGTTGCGGGCTTCTTGTGGGTTACTAGGGAGTAAAGGAATGGGGGTTGGAGGCTTGAGGTTAGGAGCCCCCCTCCGAGCGGAGAGATTAGGCCTCCGGTCATATCGCTTATACGGTGAACACAACGTAAGTTTCCTGTGTAGCCGTGGTATGACTTCAGTTTCGAGTCCGCCAATTTTACAAGTTCAATTTCGAATTAAACCTTCAACTTTCGGTTTTCAACTTTCGACTATCGACTATCGACTATCGACTATCGACTATCGACTATCGACTTTCGACTTTCGACTTTCGACTTTCGACTTTCGACTTTGACTTTGATGTGTTGCTAGTTGGTATATCTATTGAAATTACAAAAAAAAACTTATCTTGCTTTCTCATTTTTACGAATCAAATTGTACGCGATTTTATTTCATACTTTATGTGCAAACCGCAACTACATAATAATAAGCGGTTTAGGCACATCATTAAGTATAACGCCCCCGTCTTAAATCATTGTGGTTAATAAGGTAAATAGAATTCGTACCTCGTTTCTAGTGTAAGGACTCTCACCCCATTAAACCTGAACCATAAATTGTATTGTATTGCATTCTCTCAATTGAATTTTATCATTTTTGATTAAATATTTTATTTCACATATTTATTGATTAAAATGTATTATTATTAAATGTACATTTTGTGTACCTCTATCTTTTTGTAAAATAAGTGTAGATGTAATACTACTACTAGTAATATGAATATAATGTTTAACAGTTAGTTTTTAACGTTATAATATAGATTAAGTTTACTTCCGTGCGAACTACAGAAAAAATGGTCGGAGGAAGAGAAAAGCTAGATTTGGAATGAATCTGTTTCTTCGAACTCAATTTCAAATATGTTAGAAGTAAGTTGCAGTTTAATATTGTTTTCATGAGAAAATTGCTCAAATGTAAACAATTACGTAAATAACAAGTTATTAAAAACGAAATTAGTGTCAACCGTTTATTAAATAGTAACAGGATTTATAACATACAATTATATTTATCTATTGGAATGATTAATACTGCAGCGGCGGCGGTTAGCTGGGTAGGTGTAAGCAGCCTGACATCTCGTAGATGTCTTCTAGTTATGGTTCTGCTGGTAGATCTCGTGGCCGGTGCCGACAACACCGATCACACCGAGCCCATGTTTCTGTGGACATAAGAAAGGTCATTAGGAAATATTACAACAACTTCTTAAAATATTCTTTGGCACGTTACAAATTATTAATTAAATAATCATAAAATTGCTACTAACAATCTTTGCTTGGTACAGTTAGGATGATAAATATAGGCAGCTTTACTCACAATAACTTTCCCACCCTTCCTGAGGGCGCCACCGATGCCCTTAGGGTTGGCACTAGCGCCGCCCAGCAGGGCTAGCACTGCCATCACCAACACGACGAGACCGAACAGCTTCATGATGAAAGGTAAAAGTTTAGAACAACTTACTGGTGTTGACTAAAAGAAGCGCAAACTTCGAATGATGAGTGATCATATTTCGCTTCCCTTATATATTACAAATGCTAGATAACTTTACTTGAATAGAACAATAGGCCGTGAGAGGGTTTTTTTGCTTTCGTCACTTACTCTAAACTTAAAGTAAACAAACAAAGAAAAGCAATATTGAGAATGAGGATAACTCACTCGTGTTTTTGTTGAAGTTGTTTCATTGACGCTTTTACGTCAAACGTAGTTACCCCATAATGTTTGATAGTGTTGGTAGACACTAGACATATACTAGCCATATAGCAAAGTATCAGTAACTAGGTGCACATAAATTTGTAAGAGGTGGCTGAGCAGCCGTAATTTAACAGTAAATCTTTGGTAAAAGATGGAAGAAGTACGAAAGCTTTCGTAGCGTTTCTGCCTTGGTAAAGAATTGCTGATTTGTTATGTAGCGGAATCTGAAGATAGATTGTTACTGTATGCCTTTTTGCGTGTTATTAAAATAAAGTAACTGATTTTGTTATGCATAAACGGAATAAGGTAACAATTAATAGATACTTTTTGTATTTTTATTGAATTTATTTAATGGTATCTAGCCTACATAAACCTGTTAACACCACGAGTAAATCTATAATACCTATCAATAAATAAACTTGTACTTCAATTAATTACTTAGGTGCTTTAGTATGTAAGAGTCGTGTATCCAATCCAAACGGTGTTCTATATTCACGAGGCGTATGGCAATACATAATATTCAACACATGTACGGAATAAATAACGCTTACAAGATGTACGATAAAAGGTCTCGCGAGCATTAAGTTAAATAGGTAAGCTGTTCACTTTGTGTTAACATTAGGTAAACTTTGCTGAAGGTACACTAATTGAATCTAATATTTCACTGTCTCTAGTAATTCTAGTTTTTGTAGCTTTTCTCCAGGCTTCGCACGTGTAATTACAGATTGTATTATCAAATTTCTCATAGTGTTTTCTAGTAATCGATAAAGTAATATTTGATAAATAAACTACTTTCACATTTATGGTATGAGAATGTGTACGAAGGCAATGGTTTAGTAAGTAGTAATATTTTTCTATCAATTCCCCACAAAATTCATAGAAAAAGATCGATTCTGGAAAAATAGTTGGGCTTCCGGCAAACTAACTCACATGGCGACACAGTGTTGTCATTGTGATTATTTCACGCCGGTTTTGTCGTAAGGCCATGATGGAACTCCGGTTGAGCCGATCCATTCGTGAGCATTTTGGTATTTTGTTAAACTAGTTTAGCGCTGTTTTTACTTAGTATATATCATATGTACGTTCATGGTCTATTATTATTCCATAAAGGTAGTATGTAGCGATTGCATAAATAAAATATTGTTTTACTGTGTATAACTTAATATTATATTTTTATCATTTTTTTTAAAGTACTTCCTGAAAATGTGAACGAACTAGCCATGTTATAAATCAAGAGTTTATAAGCATATTGGTATCATGCTTATTATCAGCTTATTTATTAGTGATTCAAAAGTACAATACCATTTTCCTACAACGTCATAATAGAATATTAACTAAGTAGTATTTATTACACAAGTAATAATATTCGTTTGAGCGCGAGTACTTCGTTCATTCAGATTAGGTGCCGGGAAACTAGTTTAATAGTGACGAACTTCAAAAAACCCTCGCGAATAAAAGTGGTTAAGTCAAAACATTGATCATAGATTTGGTATAAAAGGGACACGAGAAATAGTGGGAACATCATTCGAAGACAGTCATCGACTCCAGACTTAACATTCTTTGGAATATTAAATTTTTTTGTATCACCATGAAGCTGTTCGGTCTCGTCGTGTTGGTGATGGCAGTGCTAGCCCTGCTGGGCGGCGCTAGTGCCAACCCTAAGGGCATCGGTGGCGCTCTCAGGAAGGGCGGGAAAGTCATTGTAAGTATTTTACAAAACTTACATTTAAAAAGTAGGTAGACTTACATTTTATGTACAACAAATTTACTGATTCATGTCAAACAATCCATAGGATTTTTTAAATTTATTTTACCAAATTCTGGCACGAATGGGTCGGATCAAGTGGAGTGATACCACGGCCTCACGGGAAACCAGTGAAAAACAAAAACAGCGTTATGCTTTACCGTATGGGTCAGGTTACTGGAGGCCCAATCCCTCCCCAATTCCTATATTTTCGAAAGCCTGATCCCGAGACGCATTCGTAACTCCTTTGGTGATGTGTTTCCTCGTTTGCCGACCTATATATTAAATATATTAATATTTTATGTTTACCGGTTTCAGAAACATGGCCTCGGCGTGATTGGCGTTGTGGGAACTGGACACGAAATATATCAACAATCGAAACAACATTAATATGAATTATTTATTCACAATTATTCAGTATTAAATTTAACTTCTTGTTACAATATTGTTATAATCATTAAATATGTGTATTAAAAATCATTTTGTTTTCACTGGGTATTTTGACAGCTAAACAAATTCAAACTGCTGTGCCATAATCTTTTTCTGCGTCAAACGCCATACTTCAATATCATCATCATCATCATCATCATCATCATCATCATCATCAGTCTGATTTCGTCCACTGAGCTCGATGTTCAGATCTTCTTAATCTTATTTCATACTTATTTCTCAAATCTTTTTTATTTAGGAGATAACGAATATTATACCTATGTATATACCTACTGAATGAATAAACATGGTAAAATTTGAGTGCACTTTTAGCGCAGTGGCTGGGTAACTGGCTGCTGTGCAACATATCGCGGGTTCGATTATCACACGAAACAACATTATGTGTGATCCACAAATTGTTGTTTTCGTATTTGAGTGTGGTGTGGTGTTTTTGTAAACGCACCAGTTGTTGTGTCGTACAGTCAGCTCCAAAAGTCGATGAACAGAATCAACTTACCAAAACACCTGTTCACAATAAAACGCCATAAGTTATAGTCGCAACTAGAAAACAAAATAGCCTGTACACTAGAAATTTACAAAAGTCGTTACACACGACTATTTCAAAAGTATCTGTGCACTAGTATTCCTAAAGTCGCTGTACACCTTCAATCCAAATGTCGCTGAACATCATTGTACCTATCAAAAGTCACTAAACAGCAGTAAAGACAAAATTAGGTTAACAAAGTATATTTTTAATGTTGCCCCGTGTTAATATACTTTTGACGCTTATGTTGTTCAGCTACTTTTGGAACAGTGTTTGCTAGACCTTAATAATGTATGTTAACAAGTTAGTATCTACATATTTCAAAGCTTATTTACAAATAAATTATATTTTATTGTCAGTAATCATACTAATCTATAATTTATGAAATAACATAAACATAACTCTAATGATCTACGAAGTGATTTTTGTGACGGTACTTGTAATTTACCTTGCGCAAATCTTACAAAACCTACCTTCCTTTAATTTATAATTTTTACCCGACTACGGCAATGCTAAAATTTAAAGAATTCGACATATGACATATCATTAGAAACGTCTTTTTTGTTTTTGTCCGCTGGTTATAAGTTATATGATATATTACAAAATTTAATGCGGCGACCTCTAGCGGACAAAACAACCAGAGTAAAAAAATAAAGTTAAGATAATTATACCGTGTTTGGTATCATTTTAAAGCGCTTTACTTGTACATTTTGAATATATATGTATTACTAGCATTTTTTGGTGACTGCTTGTATTCATGTGCTGATTGCATATAATTCACATCTTTTCGTTCATACCTTTTACTACTTTATATTAGTTCATTCTTTTGTTGGAGGACACGGTAGAATATACGGTGGAAGTGTGCCCCGCTTGGGCAGGAAGACAGTATTTAAATAAAATAACCGTTGCTATAATCACTCTTCTTACAACTCTTGATATTACAATCACAACAATTACAATTTAACTAAGGATAATAAAGATTAGGTTGCATTTGAACTTAATGTCCACCGAACACGTGGCCGCGTGCATATTCTACGAAGGTCCAACACTAATTGTCCTGTTTTACAAGAAGGCCGCCTCACCAGAGCTCGGTGTTCGCTATGGACTTGAAATAATTATGACAGTTGACAGTGAAGTTTGACATCGACGTATAACAAAGAGGTTTTACATGCACTGATGGCCAGTGCGCCGACATACACTTTGTTAACCTAATTTTGTCTTTACCGCTGTTTAGTGACTTTTGATACAATGATGTTCAGCGACATTCGGATTGAAGGTGTACAGCGACTTTAGGAATACTATAGTGCACAGATACTTTTGAAATAGTCGTGTGTAACGACTTTTGTAAATTTCTGGTGTACAGGCTATTTTGTTTCCTAGTTGCGACTATAACTTATGGCGTTTTATTGTGAACAGGTGTTTTGGTAAGTTGATTCTGTTCATCGACTTTTGGAGCTGACTGTACAAAAGAAAATCCTCGAATGGCGAAACGTTTTTAAACACTGTGGAGTTACAAAAGTAAATAAACTATATATAAATAATATATACCAATTATGGCGATTTCTAAGTATTAAGGATATATTTTTCTATACCACGAAACGCATCAACGGATAAAATAACTACAAGTAATAGTTGAAGCTTAGACAAGATGTTGTGAATATTTTCCTTTGAAAAGGTTCCAAGGTCGAGGGGCACGAGGCATCTTCTGATTAGCAATATATTGCATTTTACATTGACTCAGGAAAGCAATATCCAACATACTTGTTCCTTATTTCATATTATAAATATTAAAGGATAATTTCATTATAATCTGTGGTTTATGGTCACCGAGTAGTAACTATATTTTTTTCTCCTAGTTCTGCACGTTGTGGCTAGGTATGCCAAGCTGAACATGAAGAAACAAATGAATTTTTGTCGGTACTATATGAATGAGTAAATGCTTCTTTGCCTATAGGATTATTTAGAATGTAATTTAAAGTTAGTTGAACTGTAAGAGAATTGGCGCCTATGTGACGCCTTTAATTATTATTACGTCATAGTTTACGAGGCGTGGCTACGAATAACACTGACAGACCGTAACTTACAGTCGACTAACGAAAGGTCCCATTTGATTTTCAAGATCGTGACTCTATAAATTGACACAGACAGACAGGTTTTCTCTTCAACAGGTTAAAGAATGAAGATCTGCTATCTTATGTGTATGCGATAACAGAAAAAACCAATCCCTTTAATACTACTATATATAGTGTAACATTAATTATTGTTTCCTACTTATTTATTTTTAATTATGAATATTTTTTTATCCAGTTTTAAAGATCAGCTCTTTCTTTACGAGAAACTGTAAGAACATTAAATAATTTGACATACTTATATTATATTTCTTATTATCAAACATAATACATGTTCTACCATTTGTTTCCTTCATTTTTTTATTTTTGTAAAACCATCCAATGACCACTCTGGAAAGAGCGAGAGGGAATGTTAGGTACTTAAAATCCAACCGATGTCTTCTCTGCTGAGCTGGACTGCGATAGGTACATCATTACACTAACTTTCAAACTTTCGCTTTTTATGTTAACAACATACTATCAAGCGGGTATTATGACTTAGATTTTTTTAGGGAGAAGTGATTTGATGATTTTCTCCTCACAAAAAAAACGCGTTTTCGCGTTAATACCCGCTTAAAAATATGTTGATACGTCATTACATTTGCACCTTCAACCACAACTGCTTTATGGTTTTAGAAATACCATAATTAAGTTTCAGTGAACCTTAATTGTTTTGATTCACAACACAAATGTAGGTATGTAGGTAGCTACTCGGGATGGCTCCGGTTACGTGTATCGAGTTAATAATCCAAATACATGTGTCGAATATTATGTATTCCAGCGGTAAACATAAGTACTTTAACAACATATTTGCTTTGGCTGCAACTTGAGACCGCCACATGGCATCGTACAGTCTAAAATATAATTTATTTGAGTCATACCGTAAAGAATGTTTATATGGCTCAGGATGTCTTGTTTTGGGTGCTATCAGCACCATCGGATAACGTTGTCATAACGGTAGGGTAGTGAAAAACGATTTCGTCCATCAGTCAGATAGGAAAAATAAAAATAAGACACGTATTAACATAACAATACTAGATAAAAATAGTTTTTTTCCACATGATGTGCTTCTTAAATTAGTTTAGGAGTTAGGAGCTAGCTACGTCCGCGTCACCGCAAAGTGTAAAAAGTAGCTTATAAAAAAACCTAATGTTTTGAACAAATCCAAACGACGAACATAAAAATGACATCTTTATTGTCATTTATGAGAAACTTAGGGTCGACTAAATACCCCCGAAAGTAGCTGCACAGAGTATTAAATTCGAAGAGGTAAACCTTATTAAAAATATTTTCTTTCGGTCATCGATTTTGAATATTTTACTAAAACTTAAAGCCTTTTAGCTAACTTAACATAATTGATTATTCTCAAATAAAATTGTGAACAATCTGCATGATTGATTTTCTATTATTGAGGACAATTTTATCGCGTTATCTCCTTTGTATCAAGTCTATAAAAACACTATTGACCATAGTTTTAGAACAGTATTCTAGTGATACGTATAAAATTATTGTTCGTATGAGATTTAGGAGGACTAATAAAATGAAGAGATTTGTTGTAATAATTATTATGGTCGAAGATGTAGAAGATTATGAAAGAAGAAGACGTAGTTGCTAGAAAATAAAAATGCCTCATATTAATAAAATGCATTAGTAACTCCATAATTTTTTGTCAAACCCTCGATGTTGAGTAGGTATATATTATTTAGAAAGTTTTAACTGCGAACGTGTACCTATATTTGTGCTAGATAAAAATACTACATCCAACAATAAACTGTTTTACAGTTCGACAGAGCCAGAACCATTTTTTTAATTTCATCAGGGATGATTTATTTTCTTTGAAGACGCTTACAAGTTAATAAATATTATGAAAGATAATTTATGCCTGTGTTTTCATTAGTGATCCTTCTTAGCGTCATAAGACATTAGTGTCAGGTAATATTTTCCGAGGTTTTCTCTGTTTACTGATAAACATTTGTCCCAGCCATCTCGCGGATTTCACAAGAACCGACTAAATTCCACACGTTTCAAAGAGACTGGAAAACGGACCGGATTAACTTGAACGTTTTGAAGTGCGATCTTCAAGTCTCTTGGAGCTAATAGCCAACCCTTTTTATGTGAAGCAGGCCCAAGACCGTATGTATGATGATGATCATAATTAAGTTTCCCAAAGAGGTTTTAAATTTAACTTCGTCTGTATTTTCGTACATATAGATTTATCTTAAAGGTATTATATAGCCATTAAAATATGTACCTTTTCCTTAATGTGCGGTCGCAAAATTTTCCCAGAAACAAAAACTTTTATGTTTTTATTTTCGTATCAAGGACAGATCTCGTCTCTTTTTCTTAGAAAAATGGCTACGCTGGCTCTTGCAAACCAATTTTGCTTTTAGAAACATTTATATTAAAGAGCATAACTACCTGTCATGTTTATGGTCGCAATTTATAATATATTTTGGCAATTTTCCCAATAGTTTCCAAATCTTTGAGTTGAGCAGTGTATTTATATAGCACAAGCTATAGCTGAATATAAGCAACAACTCCAAAAACCAGTTTTATTTTATGTGATAAGTCGGCAAATTAGTGGACGGATTACTGGATTGTAAGCTATCGGCGGCACATGGACACCCGCAACATTATAGGAGTTATGAGTGCGTTGCCGACCTTCTGGGGATTAGGGTATCGGATATTTAGGAACGGGGGAGGGGAAGGATTTGATCTCCGGTAACCTCGCTGTGGTTGTCTCACTCCGGTTTTCTGTGAGGTATTTTTGGTAAAAATTAAATGTCTATACTATAATAAAAACAATAATTTATTAACACCATATAAGAACTACAACGTTCAGCTTGGCTTTTAGCTCTTAGTATTATAACCGAAGCGAGGATATTAGAATCTTCTTGCGGCTTTCTCTACCATCACTACCCCTGCTGACCCCTGTTTTTGGCTGATTGATACAACTCGTGGGCGGTTGCCGCTGCACTCGCTGCTCCAATGACTTTTTTCTGTAATTGGAATTAAAAAATGCATGAGACATATTAATTATAGCTTATAATTAAATTAAGCATTAATAAAAAGTTTTGAGTACTCACAACTGTCTTCCCCACTTTCTTCAGCGCTTGAAAATTGACCTTAGGGTCTGGGTTTGGAGCCGAACTGACACCACCCGCGAATAGCGCGAGCACCGCCATCAGCATCACGAACACTACTGTCAGTTTCATTGTTGTTGTTACTGTTATAATTTACTTCTGATATCTTCTGTTACTCTAGTACCTCTTTGGAAGAGATCTTAAAGTTGACTGTGACAAGACTTGGTAGACCACAGACTTTTAAACACAAGACGTTCCCTGTGTAGTGACTTACTGACGCAATGGAATTTAGTATAGTCCAGTACGTAACACATCTTTGGGGAGTATTAAGGAAACTGTTGCATTTTTGTGACGTTGCAATTTCCCATTATCGTTAGGCCTATTAGAGAATTAAACTTGTGCTCACTAATTGGTATATGAATAGTTCCCGTAAATCCCAGTTAATTAATAATTTAAAGGCAATAGTACTTAATTAGTTCCAACTGACGCACTGTTTTGCACCAAACCACATTTGATAGATAAACACTATTACATCGTGACACTACGCATTTGGTTGTGTGTCAAGTTAATAGTGGACTAACAAATTCGATTTTGTGATTCAATATACATAAGTATTTAAATATTATAGTCATCGTTACATAGAGGAAAAATATTTAATGTATTCTTACATATCTTTTATCATGATCCTGATAGACACTTCTGTCGAACGAATGTGTGAGCTAGAGAGCAAGGCTCAGGCAACAAGCACTACGTTAAAAAAATTACAAGTCCCTAATAACTTTTAATGACAATTTTATTAAAAAAATAATATAACTAGTAGACTAGCTTTTTAAATTATGTGTAAAGAAAATTTTATGTAGAAAAGCATACTACACTCTGAATAATTACATTGTAGATAAAGATGCTTGGAGACATGCCGGTCCTGCTCCACAGGATAGCAAACCTGCACCAAAATAAATAACGTTCCACTGGATTTTGCTTGAACGGGACTTCTCCATTTTAATGAAATTGCATTATATTGTATAACTATAACTTGATAAATTTGTAAATGTGATGCTGGTGTACGTGTCATGTTTGTGAACGGGCGCCGTCAGTTGGGACTGGCCAGCTCCAGACTGTCTATTGTCCTTAAGGTTACTTTATTTTTATATTTGAATAAATATTAGTGTTACACTGTTCTCACATAATTGAACCAACTGTTTGTAAAAGGAATCTGTAAGTGAAACTGATTTAAAAAGAGTAACCATGGAGTTTCTTGCTCGTTCTTCTCCATCGGAATCTACATTTTGAAACGAGCAAATAGCTTCACTAAGAGGACTGACCGACAGACTGACACTATATCTTCAAAATTTTGTTTGACGTTCAAAAGTGCCTGTGAAGGTCTAATTGGAATAAATTATTTTTGACTTTTTGAATTTTTGAGTAACAAACATCCAAACATCCGTAACTTTCGCATGTATAATATTAGTAATATAATACATATTAACATATTAACATATTGATAAACAGTACCTCAATTGTATTTTTTAAACAATCATCATGAATTAGTGGACAATGCTATTGATACTTTACTTGAAATTCAATTTAAGCATTTTCGCTTTTAAAGCGTTTTAAATATTTTAACTACATTTTGTTCGTCTTAGTAACTTTAAACTCGGTCCATTATCATATCATTAGAAACTATACAAAAATGTGTGTTATTCATCATAAAGATAAAACCACTACACATAAAGATTGAAATTTGATAGTCTGTAATGAACACCTGTGAGGTTATCGGAGTCTGCTGTTTTCATGAATTCATAAGTCGCGTTTGGTAAGGTATGTGAGAGTAAGCTTTCAAAACTGAAAATAACGTGGGCGAATAGAAGATAGACTAGACTGAAATGCGAAAATTATGCTCAGAAAAACAAAAGAAGTAACATTTGCACAAAGAAATTTTGAATGAACGATTCAAAAATGTTGAGTCGTTCAAATAACTTTCTTAACTTATTAATCAGCCGAACAAAAAGAAGTGTCCCACCAACAGACAAAGATAGTGCGACTGGTCGAGCAATTGCAGTTTCCACACTGAATTATGGAAGAAGTTGTTTTTTATTGAGGTGGGAAAATCATAAAATTAACTCTCTCGCCCAGGTTGTGTTAGACTTTTACTGATTAAAAACTATCCCGTACCTTCTCCTGGCCTTGACTGAGGCCGCGGTACCTTTTTGCGCTTGGCCGACAACCTCAGCTAGCAGACCAGAGCCAAAGCATTAAAATGGTCTCAAACTGGTAACGCTAACAAAACTGCAAAAAATATCATTATATTTGCGGGTAATATGACAAAGAGGCAAACGTAAACCAGCATTCGTATGGCAGGTAGTAGTCAGGCTGCTCGCTTCGCCTCCCGGACATGTTTTAGGAACTTTGGCTATGTACAGCGCTGTTCAGCTAAATACTGAGCTCAGTGTCAGGTTACAGCAGTTGGAGAGATTTATGATCCCAGTTTTCCAATCCCGGTATATGGTATTGTGAGATCCCGCATCATTTTGCCTCCGGGCTTACGGGATTGCAAAAAAAAAACGTGCGTGCTACCTGTCTTTCTCTCTCTATGATTCGGCGACGACGTCTTTCAACCGATGGTAAAATGTCTTAATTATGTGTACATTTTTAACTTCTCAAAATCCCCATAACAAAAAGTATTAAAACTAAAACCCAACTACGACAAAAACATGTTATCAAAGTGCAGGTATGGTAAGTAAATGTAACGTGTGACTACGCCTTTCAGTATTCTGAAAATCTTGTTTTATACTTTTTCAGCGTCAGTTTTTGTCGTAGTTGGGTTTTAGTTTTAATACGTTTTGTTATTTGTAGTATTTTGGTGTTAAAGTGCATTTGTGGCGCAAAATATCAACAAAAGAATGAACTAATATTAAGTAGTAAAAGGTATGAACGAGATGTGAATTATATGCAATCAGGCCATGAATACAAGCAAAGTCACAAGCAAATGCCAGTAATGTTTATATATTCAAAATGTACAAGTAAAGTGCTTTAAAATGATACCAAACACGGTATAATTATCTTAACTTTATTTTTTTACTCTGGTCGTTTTGTCCGCTAGAGGACGCCACATTAGATTTTGTGATTCATCATATAGCCTATAATCAGTGGACAACTAAAATGTTTCTAATGATATGTCATATGTCGAATTCTGATAAGTAGTTTAGAAGTAACGAGGGAACAGATGAACATACATACGGGCTATGTATGTATGTATACATACATAGCCCGTCAAAATCACAACCCTCCTTTTGCTTTGCCGTAGTCGGGTAAAAAGGTATGCCGCTCGACAAGGCATTTTCTGCTACTAGCTTTATTACTACTAACTTATGCAGTAGTTTGACATAATACAATAGTTTTCTTTTGAAATGTGATTAACTGAATATTTACGTAACCTATCAAACTTCGTTGATTTTTTTATTTACTGTGTTTGCCACTGTTTTTGGCTAGAAAAAGAATAACTATATAATTTGATGGTTTCCAGTTTAGAAGATTTTTTTTTGATAAATAATTAATTTATTGTTTTTTATTACTGTAAATAAATGTAATATTTTCAATATGCGGGATCTCACATATGTCGAATACTCGCGGGAGTCGCGGGATCGATAATTCGTAGTCCTAGTAATTCCGCGAATAATTGGATTAAAGTTGAAAAGAAGCCCAGCTAAGCAAGCAGTCAAATGATGACAGTGATGGAATATTTATTTATTTATTAAGAATATTTACATATACAACATTACAGCTTACGCCATTAAGTTGTATTGTTAATTTTATATAAATACTATTATCTAGGTACTTAAAAAAAATATAACCATATAAACTTGACTAAATATTACAAGAAAATTGTATTTGGATATTATTGTCTGTGAATGTTGACGTTCGGACTTTGGAATCGATAATCAATGATTCGTAGCAAAGGGCTTATTACCCATTATATAAAACATAAATATAACTGATAACATAATCAATCCTGAATGCCACAATTAAATACGGAACGGTCTGGGGCCGCGCTCAAGCGGCTCCTTCCCAACCTCGGGGGGCCAAAACGCCTCCTGCCGGAGGTTGTATATGGGGATTGTGCGATCCATGGCCCTCTACGGTGCCCCTGTGTGGGCGCCGGACTTGAAACGGCGGCCGGCTCGTACGCTGGTCGCGTCCCAGAGGGTCATGGCTATACGAGTAATCCGCGGGTATCGCACGATCTCCGGGGAGGCGGCGAACCTCCTTGCCGGATCACCGCCGTGGGATCTAGAAGCGAAGGCGCTCGCGCGCGTCTACAGTTTGCGCGCAGACGCGCGTAGCCGGGGCGAAGATCCTTTGCCGCGCCAAATAAGTGCGTGGCGGAATGAGCTCCGGCGAGATCTCATGGCAGAGTGGAGACAGCGACTGTCGCAACCGAGGGCCGGGCACGCTACCATAGCAGCGGTAAGACCCCTCTTTGAGGAGTGGCTTGAGAGACGCCACGGCGTCCTCACCTTCCGTCTGACGCAGGTGCTTACCGGGCACGGCAGCTTCGGTAGGTTCCTGTTTCGGATTCAGCGGGAGGAAACGCCCGAGTGTCGTCATTGTGAGGACCACCTAGAGGATACGGTGGAGCATACGGTAGCGGTATGCCCTGCCTGGGCTGAGCACCGCCGTATCCTCAGGGAAGTGATCGGCGGCGGCGACCTCTCGCGCCCGGCCTTAGTCGAGGCCATGGTGCGGAGTGAGAGGAACTGGGACGCCGTCTCCTCCTTTTGTGAAGCAGTCATGCTCGCAAAGAGAGAGGCGGCCCGCGTGAGGGAGCAATCCTCCTCCTCACGCCCCAGCAGCCGCAACTGGCGACACTACGGGCGTCGGGGATCGAGGGACGATCTCCGGCCACCGTAAGTACGGGCCTGCGGTCGGCGAGTAAGGGCAGCTCGCCGCCCGACCAGAACCAGGCCCGAGCGTACGGCGCGTAGCGTTCCGCGCGCGCCTCAAAGAGCCAATAGACCACCACAGACGGGGCCCTAAAGGGCTGATGTTCAGCCGGGGTTGCGGGGTAAGCGCAATAAGGTACCGCGACCTCGGCACAGAGCAGGAGAAGGAACAGGGGGGTTTTTAGTCAGTAAGAGTCTGACACTCCCTCCTGCCCGGCCCTGGGCGGGAGAAGTCATTTGATGATTTTCCCCTCACAAAAAAAAAAAAAAAAAAAAATACCAAATAATTAATACAATAATTTATTGACAAAATAACAACAATAACAATGTCTGACTGGACTTTGGAGTTCCACCATCACTACCCCTGCTGTCCCCTGTTTTTGGCTGATTGATACAACTCGTGGGCTGTTGCCGCTGCACTCGCTGCTCCAAAGACTTTTTTCTGTAATTAAAATTACAAAATGTGTAAGATTTATTAAACGGTTGCTCATAAATAAATGAAACATTAAGAAAAAATCGTTTTGAATACTCACAACTGTCTTTCCTACTTTCTTCAGCGCTTGAAAATTGACCTTAGGGTCTGGGTTTGGAGCCGAACTGACACCACCTGCGAATAGCGCGAGCACCGCCATCAGCATTACGAACACCATTGTCAGTTTCATTGTTGTTGTTGCTGTTATGATTTACTTGTGATAGATTCTGCTACTCTGTTACCTCTTTGGAAGAGACCTTAAAGTTGACTGTGACAATATTTGTTAGACCACGGACTTATAAACAAAAGAAGCAGATCCCAGATTTCCCTGTTTAGTTAGTAAATGACGCAATGGAATTTAGTATATTCCAGTTCATAGACTTCTTTGTGAACAATTAAGGAAAGTGTTGCTCTTTTGTGATAAATTCCCCATTGTTGTTAGGCCTATGAAACATGTACTCAATACCGTCTAATTGGTGTCGTTTAGGAATTCCTAACAATTAATTAAGTCATGAGTAATTATTTCCGACTATACATACCTATTGCACCAAACCGTATTTGGAAAATGACCTAAAAATTGTAAAAATATCGAATAGCTTTCTCTTTGTGACGAAGGATTTTATATTGAAATTGACTGATCTTTGATAGTCGATAGATAAATAACAATAATTCTTAACACGTGTTTGGAAAGTGTTGTGAGGGTTTACATTTTAATATGTGATTACCTATAAAGTGTTCGATAAACCCGTCATATAATAAACGTATGGGCGTTATTCTTATTAGTTAATCCTCCTTCTACCCTCGTTCATAATCCTAAAATCTCTTAATTACAAAAGGCGGCAATGCATTCGTTACTCTTCTGGTATTATGAGTGTCCATGGGCGGTGTTGATTGCTTACCGCTCCACCAGCCACGAAAATGTAAACAATTGAGTAGAGTCAAAGATAAAATATTTTGATTTTTTAATGCAATGCAATTTAAAATAATTATAATAACACTTTCATTCATTAAATTGATATCCTTAATTTTAGACATTAGCTTATTTTTCAAATACTTAAAAGTATGCTATTAAACATTATGACGTCACATGTTACAAGATGCTACCGGATTAAGATGTGAAAATAATCTTAGAAAAACAAAAGCAGTAAAAGGTGCATAGACATTATGAATAGTGCATAGAGGTTGTTATGTGAATTAAATGACAATGGGGTAGTTTCCAACTAATAAAGTGTAACTAGTTATTTGCAAAGAGGTTATAGCTATATTTTTGTAACTAACGTTGTGATGCGTTAAAAATTGTACCTAATGCTGAAAATTGTTGATGAAACACAATAAATTGTATTGTTATTTTCATGTAGTATTAGAAGTTATAAGTGCCTTTACCAATTGCCAATCACTTTGGGTTAGTACACGTAATGTTAGTTTTTGATGCTAAAATAAATAAAAATAATGTAAATTTTGATATATTTGAGATATTGTTTAACGTCCTTTAATACGTACCTAAAAGTCAAAATTAAAGTTACAGCTTTCTAAGATCGCCGTATTAACTGTATCAATTTTGAAAATCTTAGGTTCAATCAGTGAGTTTTTTTATTGATAGTTGTCGTCTAAGGAATAAAGACGTTTTTAATTAGGAATAATTTCAGATTACAACTACCTAATTTAAAATTGTTATCGAAAATATCCTTAATACTCAAATATGATTGCTTTTACGTATTTTTAATCGTATATGTAGCAGAGTTGAATGTAATCATTTTTTAATGGTGGGGCCTCCTACTTTTCATTGTCTCACTCTCTACTAGCGATACCTATATAGTGATTTGCTTTTATAAAAGTGCTCGCAATTAATTGGTTGATTAAGCTAAATGCTTTTTTTGTGAAGTGTAGATGGAGTGTTGAGATGGTAGAGAGACGACATGTAAAAATTGTAAAAGTATGTGTATGTTGCTTCGTGAGTACACCTAACGCCAAATGTAGCTCCATTCAAAATTCGAACCACGTAGGCAGGCATGTGTGCGTTCGGTTAAAAATTACTTAGTGTAGGTACTTGGTCGCAAATATCGTGTTCCCGGCAATGTTGTGGTATTTCCCCTCCTTTCGAATGTGACGTATTAGAAAATCCATAGCATTGTCCCACGATTTTGCAGTTAGCTTCTTGTTTTTTGTGGAAGCGATATGTTTTTGTTTGTACAAATATGTGGTCGGGTTTTATTATTGGTTTTTTTTTCTGAAACATTATTTATATCCGTATTGAGCGCGACGATACTATGTCAACATGGAAAAGTAACTTTAACTGTATTAAAAACTGCATACAAAATCAATATTAATTGTGCTTTAGAAGGTTTATCAACAAAAGTTAATAGACTGGCAGAGTTACTTTCGTTTTATAGTCCGCGACCGACTACTGCTAGTTTTTTTTAAATCGTTTTTATTGTTTGAGCATCTGGTGTTAACCTTTAATTAAATGTGGCACTTGCAAATGTCACCCTAGGTCAATTAGCAATTTACTGTGTAAACAATTATTGGTTAACCTAAATAAATTATAGACCTATCCTAATAAGCCATTGACCTACAGTTCGCCAATCGTTTCGCCATTCCACCTAGTAAAATAAGAATGAAAGATAGGCATGAACTAAAATTCCTTATGACCTGAATACTAACTAAGTCAAAATTTTATGAAAAAGCTTGCTGTGAAAGATCGATAGTCAGGAATCGGAATAATAGGATTAGCACGAGCTGGGAAAACTGGTTCGGAATAACGAAAGAGACGCAGAGGCTGTTTGAAACAAAGGTTTGCAAAATTTAAATGTCTGTCAAATCGATCATTCAGCGTTCACACCATAAAGTACTTTAGTCATGCGGAAACTATCTTGACTTTATGATTTTTATGTTTACGCAGAGGCTGGGCCCGTTAGATTTGATTTAACGCGAAACACGTCTTCGTGAGATTTCCAGTTTGTTGTTCCAATATTGTTTTATTGATCTGGGTTTGATGCCAAAATATTTGGTTTAAATATTTTGGGATCACATGACACCCAGATTAAGAAAATAAACTCCATATTAAATCTCCTGCGCCCTTAATTACGCCGTACCTGTCCTGAATCATTGGTCACATCTTTTGAAGCAAAAAGCAAAAGATAGTAAGAAATGCAAGTCATCATAATACTATTACAATTAAACAAGAAACAAACAGAATTGTTTCAAAATTTTTAAGAAGCGCAGTATTACTGGTTTGTAGTATTAACATAAATTATGTACCCATATGTATAATGCGTCAATTGGTAATGCCTTCTCATTCTCATCAGCCTATAAGTGCCCGCTGCTGAGCAAAGGCCTCTTCTCGTACAGAGAAGGTTAGAGCATTAATCACCACGCTTGCTCTATGCGGGTTGGCGATTTCAAACTTCTAATTAGAAATTATAAGTTCAGGTTTCCTCATGATGTTTTCCTTCACCGTATGTCAGTGGTGTCTAAATAATCATAGAAAGTACAGGAAAAAGTCACATTGGTAATTGCCAGGTTTCGAACCCACACCCTCATGCATAAGAAGCGGGCTCCCTAACCTCCGGGGCCACCAGGACATTCAATGCATATGTGGTTATAAATTAAGTACCTACTAGTGGCTGTATTCGACAGTGAATTAGGCCAAGCAAATGGATGGGTATGGGGAAATTGCCTAAATGCCTGATTTTATCACAAATTTATGACAAACATCACATTTGACTGGACATCCGGCTGTTGTGTAGAGGTACTTGTCGCGCCATTATCCAATTTATTTTTAAGTAATTACCTATTATAATTAAATTTTTGCTTGTAAGATTATTATGTTCTACATAATGTTCTTCTGGCAAATTACCTGTTGACAATCCCCCACAGCGGGTTATGGTAATCGATTGCAATGAATCATGAATAAAATTGTGAGATTATATTATCCTAAAAGTCTTTTCTACCTCTATAACAAATTCCCATCAAAAAGTTGGAATATCTAATAAAGTCTCGCTATAACTTATTCAGCAGCTGATAGTTAAATAAATTGTCCCTTTCCAACTTAAACTGATATTAATTGTAATTAAATTAAAGATAATTGCCAAATTGGCTACCGGTTAAATAAGTTTATATCTACTTGGATTAGTAACGCCTCCTCTTTTAATTGAGTTTCGTAATTTTCATCGGCCATTATTTCAATTATAACTTGCGTAAATGTCGTCGTTAATTAGCGAAAAATCTGCGTAGTACCAATTTCTTACCCCCTTTTAGGATGTATGGTACAAGAAGATATTATCAATGATGTATAAAACTATATATAATACGTCATTGGATATTATACCGTTTTTTGTAGTATTTCCTATTGGTGTTCAGCTAATAATGGTTATAATATTGCATTGTGGGAAATTTATTTTTTTAACTATTCCGTAGATCCACATTTTGCTTTCTACAACTACACAAATTCATAAACGTTACCTATTTATACGAATATACTTATGTAATTGTTTTTTTATCCAAAATATATGATATAAGTATTTAGAGGAAGAACACAAACTTTTTCCATGGTGTTATCAGTGATGTGCCTATCCATTGCTTTTGCGCTGGCGACGTAGCAGAAGAAAAATATTCTTGCAAAAGAGAACGCGATGTCTTTCTTTTCTTGTCACTTCGAACGTGATGTCATTGACAAAAACATGCGTGCTTAGTAGGTACTTGCAGAAGATGATTCATAACGTGATACTTTTTGAATGATTCATCCAAATTACCTACATAATGAATCAGCACACAAACCAAACTTTAGCTAAAAATGTTTTAAAATTATTTATAGCTTCTTTCTATCTTCGAATTTTAAGTCCTTAAAGGAGGAAAACGTACTTGTTACTTATTTAATGTTACGATGTATTTTGAAAAGCAAAAGTTCGTTTAATATTTCATTTGAATAAAATCTTTATTCAATTAGTTTTTTTATTGTTGTCACTTTAATATTAGAAACCCATATTGGAAATGGGTTCTCCTTCTTCGTGTTTTCATGAGGGAAGAAGTCGCGATAGAATAAATAAAAGCAATTATAATTTTGAGACAAGCGAAATTAAAGAAAGAGAAAAAATTTTACATACCGAGTAAGCCATTAGCACTGGCGACTACACTATATGTATTTGAATTCGAGATTCAAAATATAAAAAAAAATGTGCTTTGTTTTTTTGTATATTTGGTTAATATGTCTTTTAAAATATCGTATGAGTTATGGTTACGTGATTAAGAA